GCTATCATGGTCTGCCCCTTTATATGATTTGATATTGACTGTTGTCTCTATGCCAGCAGTAAGTTATTATATTTGTTTATTTTATGTTTGCTTAATGTGTCCTTACTTCTTGTTTTGTTTTGTTTTGATATGCCCAAATTGGCTAGTCATGTGAGATAGTTTGATTATTGGCTTCTTTGAAGCTTTCATGTCCTGTTTCCCGGTGGCTAGAGCTATTACTAGGTATGTGAGCCCAGGAGTCTGTTTACTTTTCTTGAATTGATTCAGCTCAGATGTCCAGTTCATCAGTCATTGAGTGTGTGGTGCAGGCTCTCACCTGCAGTTCTAGATGGACAAGGGTGATTGAAGTAGGCACAGGTATCTGGCTGCAGTAGGGAGTCATGCACTGATTCCAGCAGAGGCTGACTGCTGCCCCTGAGTTTCTGGGTGGAAGGCGTGTGTGTCCATGTTCCCTAGAGCACGTAGGTAGGTGGATTTTGCAGCCAGACTGTGGGCACCCATGCTGTTGGCTGTATGGACTGGGAGTCACCACTTATTCTTGGACCCCTGTCACAGGTGGCTCGGTGGAGTGGGTGGAGCCACCACTTCTTAAGCCGCTGATGTGGGTAGGTGAGAACCCTGCTTAATGGGGAGGGCAGTGTCAAATGTCATGAATCTGCCACTCCCTTTTATAGCAAATACAGATGATAATAGGCTTCAGGTTATATGCCCTGTTATACTGTGCTAATGAAGGCCTATGCTGTTGACATGGGCTCACACAAGTCTATGCAGGGGTTAAAGGCATTCAAAGTCCAGGGACCCCTTATACCTGTGCCTAGGCGAAGGGGCTGTGCTTACCCTGAGTTCCCGGCTAAGGGGAGCTGGCAGATTATTTTTTCCTATTTATTCATGTATTCCTTCTCCAAAGCTGGGGGAATGACTCAGGGCACACAGTGGGTCCTGGTTCCGGCCCAGGGAGTGAAGCAATTGCTGAAGCAGACCTGGACCTGGAGCAGAGCAGGGAGGGGTCAGGTAAATGGGAGAGAGGTACCTCCCCAAAGGGTTTTTGGTTTTTTTCATCAGCGTGGTAGGTTAGACACTTGTAGTTATCTTTTGCCAATTGAGCGCCGTTTCTTGCTCGTTCTGGAGGCTTGAGCCGACTTTCTGCTGTTCCATCTCTCCCGATGTGGAAAATGCATCCCGAGCGCCACTGCTTGCCTCACGATTGCGCCAGCCAATGTAGCCTGCAGGGTGCCAATACTGGCCAGGTCGGGTCTGGAAACTCCGTGTTGCTTCTGAACCTTCTCTCCCTCCCCCTGCCACTTGCCACTCAATCCAATTCCTCAACTTTGTCTTTGGTGTTCAGGGCTCCTAGATTGTCACACATAATCGATTCATTTGTTTTTTTGGGTCTTTGTTGTAAGAGGGACCACAGGAAGCGTCTGACTATTCTGCCATCTTTGCCCCACCTCAATGTAATTCTTAAAAAATAAAAAAAAAGCAAAATCTAGTGAGGTTTTCTTGGAGAGAATTTGCTTTTTTTTTTATGTCAGGGGTTAAGGTCTATTACCCATTGCCATCGAATGGATTAGGACTCAGAGTGACCCTATTGGGAAAAAAAAAAAAAATTATAGTGACCCTACAGGTCTCATAGCGACCCTGTAGGACAAGTAGAACTGCCCCATAGCGTTTCCATGGTGCACCTGGTGGATTCGAACTGCCAACCTTTTGGATTGCTGCTGTAGCACTTAATCACTACATTACCAGGGTTTCCAGCAACCCTATAGGACAGAGTAAGACTGCCTCATAGGGTTTCCAAGGCTGGTAATCTTTATGGAAGCAGACTGCTACATCTTTCTGCCATGGAGCGACTTAGTGGGTACAAACTACCAACCTTTCAGTTAGCAGCCAAACGCTTATCCACTGTGTCACCATAGGGCATATTGCTCATTGCCATCATCAAGTCAATTCCTACTCATAGCGACAGTGTAGGACAGAGTAGAACTACCCCATAGGGTTTCCAAGGCTGTAAATCTTTATGGAAACAGATTGCCACATCTTTCTCCCCTCAGAGTGGCTAGTGGATTCAAACTGCCGACCTTTTTGTTAGCAGCCAAGTACTTAACCCTGCACTACTAGGGCTCCTTTAAGGCATGTAAGGATGTGGATTGTCCTTAGCCCCTTAAATAATCCAGCTTGATACAGATGTCTTAGATTCGGTTCCCCCACCAAGTAGCCTGACTCAGTCTCAGACTTTGAACCCTTACAGGGCAACCCTGACTTTCAAGTTCGGTTATTGGTAACAGCTCACACTTAACTGTTAGGTTGAGTGTTGTAATTGTTTTTTTTACCATCCCCCACCCTTGATCCTTGGAAATATCGCTTTCTCAAGAGGCTAGCACTATGTTAAAAAATGTATGTGTTGAAATTTATATAAGATCTAGCTGTTTCATAGAGGGAGAATCTTCTGAGTAATTTGTATACTGTTTTGCTTGCAGCTGAATTTGAGGCTAGCTTAATTCTTAAGCTCCTCCCCAATAAATGTTGTTGTTGTTGTTTTAATTAATTTTCTTCCTGTTATGTGTTTTAATTGGCAAAATTTTATTTGGTGAAGTATATGTGTTATTTAAAGCAAGTTTCTGTTTCCATAGCACTGGTTCTCTGTCCCACTCCATTGTGGTATTGTCATTATTCACTGAGGAAGAGAGCAGAGGTGGAACACAGAGGGGGGCGGTGAGCCTGAGACTGACACCCCCATTTAGTGAGCATTCCTTTTCTCACTTACAAATTACAGATCTAGATTATTCATCCATAGTTTGTGTTATGAATAACCATACTTTATACTTCGAATTGGAATCACAAAACCAAAACCAAACCTGCTGCCATAGAGTTGTTTAAGGCTCATAGTGACCCTATAGGACAGAGTAGAACTGCCTGATAGGATTTCTAAGGAGCTGCTGGTGGATTCGAACTGCCAACCTTTTTGGTTAGCAAGCAAACAAACACATGTGGTACATTTTTTGCTCTGCTGAATTCTTGTATGGAGGAATGACTTTTTACACCGTTAAATTATTGTGTGAATTTACAAATGTTCAAACACAGTGTATCACAACAGTTCTATTTGATCCAACTTATTCTGAGGCATGCAGTTTTTGGAAAACAGTCATTTTTTGCAAGATGATGCTGCTTTTATCCCTAATGATTTCAGCCTTCGGAGGCTAGGAATTAGATACTAATCTGAGAAGTTGCAGAATGAATGAAGTCTAACTTGTATCAAGTCAGTTGGACATCTCTGAAGATAATTTTCAGAATCTCTATAATATGAGCTATATGAGGCAGAAATATTTCTAACCCCAATATTCACCTCACAGAAAGCATTTTGATAGTGTAGTGATGACTTGTATTATTATCACTTGAAATAGTTCATTGTAAACTACAGTCATCTGAAATGTTTTTCTATGTATAGTTAATTGTGATTTTTTACATTAGAACAGTCTGAAACAAGTGCCCTTTGGGAATTGTAGTTCATTAGTAATGCTCCTTTTTATGTTGCTAATAGGTTACTATTGGTGAAGTATTAGCATTTTAATAAAACGTTATTTGAACTGCCTTCTAGACTGATAAGAGAAGGCATTAATCGCTGTCAGACTTTACAGTTCTTAACTAGTATCAAAGATTCACTTACTTTAAAATTGGTAGAATTGCTTATTTTAAAAGCAGTAAAATGTAATGCCCCTTCTGCCCAATGTCAAGATAAGCTACTGTACTGTCATGTATAAAATGGTAAAATAAATATTTAATGCCATTTGCAAGTCACAAATGTGCTAACTACCTTAAATCCTTTCTGGAGTAGAGGAGGTGTAAATCAATGAATAACAAAATGGAACATTAGTGCAGTAGTTATAGTTGGAATAAAAAAATTCTAACATTCTTTGCTAAGCAGTTTGTTACAAAATGATTCCGGCAGTTTTACTCTTGTTATCTCTAACACCTTTTGATGGTGTCACTCAAGAGTAACATAAAATGTCAGCCATTTATACTCAGCAGCTTTTTCAAGTATTCCAACTCAGAAAAATAATAGGGAAGATTTATCCCACAAACTTGTGGTTTATATGGTATAAAATAGATATTTGTGTTGTTTAGTGAAATGGAGTAAAGCACATAAATGGCTTTTATCATACATGTATATATATAGATATAAATACAGATATATATATCTTGAATGATGTAGAATAGATTCTACATGAAAATGAACAAGATGATTTCAATCTAGGTAGTTTTAGTTACCTAGTAAAACTCAGCTGGGTTGTTTTGTTAGTTTGTATTGTTTTGCTTTTTATTTTTAGGTATATTTTATTGAAAAACTTAGTGTTCAAGTTGTACAATAAATAAACCTTGGAAATACTGTATTTCCATTTATATAATACAAGGTATACTGAATTTAAATTCTGTATAAATATATGAACTCTATGACTATAGCCTCAAAACCGCAAAATAGAAAAACGCAAAAATATCAAGCATCATTAACAAGAATACATGTCGTATCTATATTCTCAGTAATAGTATTGGCATAGCATGATGTAATGTAATGATAGGAATTTTTTTTTCCCTCAGAAAGTGATGTTCATTTATTTTTAAAACGGAAGAATAAATGGCAAAGGTGTCCATCCCTGTGATCCCTCCCCTCCCTGTTCCAGCTCCTCTTCAGTCACAGGATTGGACCCTGGCTAGGGCCAGCATCTGCCTCAAATGAGGTCAGCAACACATTGAAGGGCATTTCCTCAATGGAAGTGTTGTAGAAGATTTCATTGTCCTGAAAAGTTCTCTTGTCTTCTGTCACCATGTTGATAGCCACACCCTTATGGCCGAATGCCTACCGTGACTGATTCTCTGGATATAATTTTCACATTGTGTGGGAAAGTCATGGTTGATGACTAAAACAATCTGCTGTACATCATTGCCTCTGGTCCATGTCAAGAAAGATGTCAATTTCAGCATGTGGGTGGGGAGACAAGGGAACATATTCTGTCCAGTCAAAAGGTCAAAATAAAACATTTCCTCACCCCCACAGACCTTGGGCATGCCAGATTTTATTCCAAGTTCTTAGGGGTGGAGTGAGGGAGTACTACTTGGCCCCTTGGAGAGGGAATCACCTTGGAATATTTAATATCCAAGAGAAATACAGATGAACATTCTGGGTAAAAGGACAGTAATGTCCTCCCATGGACATTACTGGAAGGTCACTAACATAATATTCTTTTATAACCTTCGTGTCCACAACTTTATGCAAATCTTTTATGAGCCCTCATCACCTATTGAGTCATTTAGCCAGAGGACTTTAAGCACTAGGGTCTTTAATTGATATTCACCATTTGTTTTTTGGTATTCTTTTTATTCGTTTGATTTATGTATTTCTAAAAGCCTCTTTAATTTTACTTTTTTTGTAGTAAGATAAAAACCAAGCCAAACCAGACCCAAGCCATGTAGTCCATTCCGACTCATACCAACCCTATAGAATAAAGTAGATCTGCCCCATAGGGTTTCCAAGGCTGTAATTTTTACGGAAGCAGACTGCACATCTTTCTCTTGTAGAGCAGCTGGTGGGTTTGCACTGGCAACCTTTTGGTTAGCAGCCAAGCTCTTTAACCAGTGTGCCACCATATAAATAAATAAATGAAAATGTCACTGTGTCAACAATGCTAACAGCCAGGGAAAAGCACGATCAGTTAGTAGAGCTATGATGTTCTTTTGGCATAAGTTTAATCAGTTGTTTGAGAAAAGTGCAATTTTTCCTGATACTGAAACCTGAGATCAGATTCACCCCATTGGTCTCGTTAGTCCTTAAGAAGGAGACATTGTGATATAATAGATGGTCTCCTTAAACAGTCTCCTTAAAATAATATAACTTGAATTTCCTGCTTTCATATTATACTTAAAGCTCAGTTTCAAAACATAATATTTTGAATAAGAAATAATAACCATGGAGATTTTTCTGAAGGATATACAGTTTATTCATTTATATTGTTTTGTTTTATACACTATAATTCACATACCATAAAATTTTTCAGTCTTTAAATAGTATAAATTTTGCCCTTGGGTTAAACCTAACTATCATAAAGCTGTGTGTTTGGTTCAAGTAATTTTGGCCCATCTCAAGTACCAAAATATCATTATGCCACTGGCTTGCAAGAAGACCTAGGAGAAAGTGCCTAAATCGTCACACATGCACAAAAATTATGATACATAGAAAAGATGAATGAATAAAGACAATCTATTCTTTTTGTGTGTGTGTGCCTCCCGGAGGCTTATTATTTCAACGTTTTCTAGTACACATGGTTTAGAAATTTTATTTATTTTTGTTGATCTTTAAGCATATTTCTTGGTCTGATTTCAGTTGAGGTAGGCAATGTCTCATCACTTTGCATTTGGGATCCAGATAGAGCAGAGCAATGGACAGTACAGGTTTTGGAGTCAAGCAGAACTGAGTTTGGCTTGAGGCTGTGCCGGATTTTGACTGTGGACATTAGCCTCATTGTCATCTCTTCATCTGTAAAATGGGTATGTTACAGTACCCACTTCATAGGGTAGTTGAGAGAATTGAGTGAGACAGTGCAGGAAGAATACTTAGCCTTGCACATAAGTTCTCAATACAAATTTTATTGTAGTTGATACTCAGATTGGTTTTTTTCTTCGTGCTGAATAAGCCTAATTTCTTTAATCTGATGGTTCAGTTATTCTATTATTGTCCTTAATTTCAATTTTGAGCTGAAGAAATATTTATAGCCTGGTGAAAATATGTGTGATAGATTAATAATGTCATCTAATTACTAGGTTAAATATTGCTTTGTGTTACTAATTAAATTCACTTAAAATGTTATATTATTTACACTGTTATTGGGCCTAGTGAAATAAGTTCCCCAGAAAGATGGTGCTTCTAATATTTTCTTAGAAATGTTATATTTGTTGAAGAAGTGGTCAGAGTTTTTTTAAATTTCAGACAAAGTTCATTTTGTGAGTATGTACAGAGTTTCAGCTAATCAAATTTTATTTATAGATTTTTATATCCCAGTGGTGCTAAATAAAGTGAATTTTGCAAGATTATGGTTTCACAGACTTGAATGTTATTAAGTCCCAAGAATAAAGAATGCTGACTTAGAAGTCAGAAGACCTGTGTTCTCATTCTGATTCCCTCAGTTATTAGTTTGTGACCTTGGGCGAGTCATTTAATTTTGCCAGGTTTCATTTTCCTCATCTTTTCTTGACTCCCCATGTCACAGAGACATTATGAAGGGGAAATGAGAAAACATCTGAGAATAATAAAAACTGTTGAAATGTAAGATATTATTTTTTTGTGTAAGGCAACGTTCTATGATGCTATTTTTTTAGATGAGATTATAACATGTAGGCTAAGACTGAAAATATGTCTTTTCACCTTTTTATTCCAAATTCATTTCAGAAATATTCAGGAACTTCTTTTAATTAGTTTTTTAATAGCTCCCTTTGAAAGAAAACGTGCAAATCTATCACCTAATAGCTTGCTATCTGTGCTCCCCTTTGCAGTTTTTGCTAACAGTTTGGATTTTACCTATGCAGTTCTTCTAGTTGAAGGCACAGCTTGAGTAAATGCCAACATTGACAAATAGTTGGGGAGCCTTTATGAAAACAGAGAACTACCAGTGTTTACCTCTTTAGTTTGTGAGTCCAAGAGACTTCTGTTTCCTCAGCCATGTTGATATATATGTATGTTAACATAACTTTCCTGAATATCCATGCCCCTGCTTGTTTTTTTCCTTTCTCGGTAAGTACCTGGAGCTTTTGGACCTTGGGGAATGTGTTGCAGCCTGTGCGTGGAGCTGGCAGGCTGGTGAGCTTTTTTTAGTGCTGAGTGTTCCACTGAGATCAATAGAAGTAGAAGTAGAGTCTCTCAGATCTCAGTTCTTGACACTTCCTGGTGCTTTGGGTGGAGTCAGATTTAAGTCTAGGCTGCTGGAGATTGTAAGAAACACCTTAAAAAAGCTCCATTGCTCTCCTGTAAATTCAATTTGAATCTTGTAGAGCTTCACAGGTTTTTAAAGCTTGTAAAGTTCAGTTTCTTGAGGTGAGAAGAGATAGAAAAGTCGTTTTCAGCATAGAGAAAACTAAGGATGACAGTACTTAAGATAGTCCAATTATATGTTTACCTGTACATCTTTCATAATTTGATATACTTTTCCACTTTAAAATTCTGGAGGAATTAATATACAAATGACTTCAGTCTCCGTAAGAGACATGCATGATGTGAATTATTTTTGCAGCTGGTTTTTGTTTGGTTGGTTGTTTTTAATCATTGTGCTTTTCTGTATCAGTAACTCACACCCTTGGTGTTCTGATGTTAATAGTAATGGAACAGTCTAATTTATGTATGAAATTTGTGGAGGAAAAACCTCATTATCGACTTTTTTTTTAGTTGGTTTAATTTTGATTTTCAAATATGGAGTCCAATTTATATGCCTATTCATTGAAATGGCAATTTTATACATGTGATAATGGTACTACCTTTACGTGTATCATACAATACAATTTTAAAATGCTTCCATGTGCGTCATTTCATTCCAGTTCTTGCAAAGACCTGTTGAGGTTAGCATTACTGTCTTAATTTACAGATGAGGAAATGACTCCCAGAGAAGTTAACCTACCTTCTCAGAGTCACACAGGGAATTAATGGACTCCATGTTTCCTGACTGCCCGTCCCGGGCACTTTTTTCTGTGTATTACATACAGGTAGACCAAGAGCCCAAGGACTGGAGATGCACAAGATGTGTGTGTGTGCAAGTACACATGTATGTGTGTGCATTTTCCCCTAAGCTGTTTCTAGTTTCTTCCTTTTCTTTTCTGATAATTTTATTGTGGTAGTGCTGATGTGTGTGTTTTCTTTCTTCTTCTCTTTCCTATCTTTTGTGGGTGTTTGTGTGTATAAATGCATGCGCAGTATATCAAAATATAGCTTGAAGCAGTGAGAAGATGAGTTTTTAATCATCTAAGTTTGACAGCAGAATGGGTGAAACTCCTGGCTGAAAAGAAGATTTTAAGATATCTGTGGCTGTTACTTCTTATTTCAATGGATAACAGAATTTTCTTATAATATAGTTAAAGAATGAACTTGGTGACGTCAAAGTCTGTTTCTCTGAGTTAAAAAAAAAAAAAAATCTTCAACTTCCTAAGGTAGACAGCAGTTTATTTTAAGGAGGTTATGTGTCAGAGCCCTGGTGGTGCAGTGGTTAAGAGCTACAGCTGTTAACCAAAAGGTCAGCAGTTCAAATCCACCAGCTGCTCCTTGGAAACCCTATGGGGCAGTTAGTTCTACTCTGTCCTCTAGAGTCACTATGAATCGAAATCGATGCGATGGCATTGGTCTTTTTTTTTTTTTTTTTTTTTAAATGTGTTAGATAACTGTTAAACTAGCTCATTGTCCCCCAGACCTGATACCAAATCCCTTTCTTTCACGTTTCCTAGCAACTGACTCCCACGTGGAGGATGCAAAGTAAAGCCATCAGGGGCCTGCTCTGCATTTCTCAAGCAGCATCTGAGAAATGGTACCCAGACTACATTATTTCCCTTCACGGTTTCTACTAAAAGCTTGCCTTTTAGGGTTATTAGTTTCTAAAAAAGGATAATCCTAAAAGACTGTCATGAAAAATTCACTAGTGAAGATAAAACATCAATATCAAATTATTAGAAATTTTCATCAGGAATAATATTTTTTTGAATAGTCATTGCTATTTCTGTATACCTTGAAATGATGATTACAGGTATAAGGAAATGAAATAAATTCTATTTTATATTTGAGAATTAAGGTCTTTATTAAGGTTTTTTTTTTTTTTAATATGAGGCTTTTCCTCTTAGATGCCTAAGTACCTATTCATAATTGTACAAAAAGATGCATCTTCAGTTTTTTTCTTAAAGGAAAGAATGACAGTGTGCTTTAAATATGTCACATATATATGTATGTGTATCTACACACACTCAACTTCTTTTTAACACATATGTATGAGTTTTAAACCATTAGATTGGAAAATTGAAAAATGCTCTTTGACCTAAATAATAAATTATATTTTGTTTAAGCAAAGAAGAATAACCACAACCTAGACCCATATAAAAATGAGAAATTGATAATAATTTGA